CCCATTTTTCTGGTCAATCCTGAAAAGGCAAAACATGACAAAAAGAAGATCCCAACTAAGAAATCTACTCTTTTCTCTGCAGATGTCATCAGGCTTTCACCAGGCAGTCATATAGCCTGCTGGATAAAAGTAAAATAGCTTACACAGTTTGGTTCCAAGAACTTTTTATGGCTGCTTCAAGACTGAGCCTTGATCCTTGTTTTGATGTCTTAGGGAATACCGAGAACTTTTGCTGTCATTGTGCAAAAGGTCAAATTTTATGCCCTGTGACAACACAGCTGCTTTCATGGAAAACTGCTGTTGTTATTGCATTAAATTGGTCATTTTAAGCTCTCCAGAAGGTCTATCTCTTCTCAAGGGTTTAAATCCAAGAGGAAATCCTACTAATATCAAATAACATTACAGTTTAGGAAGAATAAGTGTATATGCACACCCTATATAGACACGACAAACAGTAAATAAAAAAAAAACATATATATTATGTGAGTCTTAAACTAAGGAATTGTAAGAGGAAGAAAAAGCATAAAATACACTCTGTAATAATGATTATAAAAGAACAATGACAGACTTGCTTTTAATTAAAATAACACCTGTTGGATTAAGTTTCAAAGAAGAAATCAAAGAAAATCCTGAGCAAAAAACAAGGCATAGAGTTAAGTGTTTAGTAGATCAAAACATTTAAAATGTTTCAGAAAAATATGAGATGTAAAAGGGGAAAAAAATTGAGGATTATGTTGGGATTATACTGAAACTTGACTAAAGGAGCAACACTCCTGAACAAATAACATTACATTAAACTAATTAGCGTTTAGAATATGAAATTGTTAAAGTTTGCTATCTCAGCTGTTTCTTTAAACTGAAAAAGGGATTAATCCATATTGTAAAAATAGTTAGTGGTTCAGAGGGCAGAAGCTATAAAATACAATAACAAAATCCACCAGAAAGTGCAGTCTGGGGTCTAAGTCCTTGGAAACCTTAGGCTTGCAAAGAGCTCTTTGTGCAAGTCCATTTACTGGACCTGGGAGCAGTACTGCTATCAGCAAGGTGTATGTGGGTGCTTTGGGATGTACCCAAAATCCAGTTTGTGCATTAGCAAAATCCAGGATGTTTTGTCTGCAGTTTAAGACTGAGTAGTTTAACTGCAGTTAAAAGCATCACAGGAAACAGATTTATTTTCAATTGGAGGGTATTCTTCCTCACTGCTGTTGTCCCAGTCTTCTGGTTTTATTTTTCAAATTTCCTCTGAAGAGTTTTTGCACTGTAAACTTTCTTACCTAGTGAAGATGTCTAGTGTTCTGTTCTGATGGCTCTCAAACCACATTTAAATCAATAGGGATTGTGAATGCCAGAAATTCATAAGAGGACTCCAGCACACTGAAAACTTATGGAGGATGTTATGGCTGACTGCTGGCTCCTCTTGCTGGTGAAAGATGCAGAGGCAGGCAGCCAGCCAGCTGCTCTCCCCAGGAGGGAGTTAGTCCCTGGATCTCAGTTTGGGAATGGCTGTCTTAAATAATTTTGTTCAAATATAGTGCCTTTTATGTTCCTTCCAATTCTCTGTCCCTCTCACAATTACCATTTCTCATGGGAAGCATGTACCCTTTCTTCTTGTTCCTCTCCTTTTATTGAGATGGGCTGTCAGTGTTTTACTCCCAGTATATTGCATACTTAAACACTTCTCTGTACACGTGTATCCTATGGCAGAGTGAGGTAACAAGAAGTGAATTTGATCCTAAGCTTCTAGGGTTTGCACAGCAAATATGAAACAAGACTATTCTGCATAACCACAGACTCAAGCTATGCTTACTTATAATGTTTGAATCAAGTTTTGTCAATTAAAATGTGTTTTACATGTTTGGAGGTTTTTTATAAGCATACAACATGAGATATTGTGTGGGTGATCAGTATATTGTATTAGCTGATGGGCAAAAGCATTTTCGATATCATGTAAGTGGTAATTATCTTTCCTAAGAAATTTATTAGCTGGCTGGTGAAGGTTTTTTATATTCCGTTTATCACAGTTGAAGGGCTGACTTGGAAATCACAGCATGGCACTACAGACACTGTACTCCAGCAAACAGAGGGTAGAGAGCCATCAGCTGTAATCTGTAAGTAAACTAAGACAAGTGAAGCTTGGTATAGAGTTCTGAAAATGAGATGTAATTGTGTTATGGAAGTGTTAGAATGCTGTGAAATAATCTTACCCTGCCTGTCCAGCAAAGAACAAGCTCTATTTAATCTGGCATGATAATACAATTTTTTTTTTTTTTTTTTTTTTTTTTTGGCTGTATTACTGAAACTTCCAGCTTTGGTGCAGTAGGAAAATCGTAATGTCTGATCAACAGTTAGGGAAATGGGAATAAATGGGTTGCATCTGTATGTTTTTTCCTTTGTGAAATACAAAGGGCCACTGAATGACAAACAGACTCCATGAAGTTGTTTACCAAGGAGAAGAAACAAATAAAGCACAAAGCCAGCAGGCTCTTCACAGAACAGAGAGAATACTACTGTTTTGGAAAGCACGGGAGAGAACTTGCTTCTGAAATAGAAAGGATTATGTTGTCTTTCCTAAACATAGACAAAAGGTGAAGAGATCACACAATATTTGTTTTTCCACTGAATGGCTTATTTTAATGTGTTTAGGGTGGTTAGGGGGGCAAGGGGAGAATTCTCCTCCACTGGCAACATGCAGCATGAGAAGAAATTGAAGAGGAGTGCTCAACACTTAGAGGTCAGGAAGGTGAAAGCTCGCCAAAAGCTTTGCTAGGAGGCTCAAACATTTTTGTGGTTTCAAGTGTTTACCTTAGCAATGATAGAAGATTTAGACAATTACCCAGCAGCCTCAACAGTGTCTTGTCGGGCAACACAACAGCTCCTCTTCAGCAATGTCACTGGGAGCCTGATATTTTGAGAATTTTCACACAAGTGTTGTTATAATCAGGTCTGGTATAATTAGGAGTTAAAGAATGGTGGCTGAAATGATCCAGTTAGAAGAGATTAACTGGAGCTTGTGGGAAGAAGAGAGAAATTGTGCTGCCTTCATAGAGCTCAGTCCAGGTCTGCATATTTTATCTTGCTGCTAATTCATCATAGCTAAGAAGGGCATTCATTTTTGAAGTTTTGCTCTATGTTTTCAAAGAAATTGGTAAAACCTTTCCCCTTTTTGGAGTGCTGTAGCACAAATCCTTGATTCTCACATACTCAGTAAAGAGTAAATTATTTTGGTGCCTCAAAGGTGCTACACTTTTCAGTTTCTAAGTTTGTCAGTATGAAGCAAAGGTGTCCATAAGGCCTCTTATTGCCAACTGTTCCACTTTATGGTGCTTTTTATTCAGTTACACCTTCCTTTTGTTCCTTCCTATTGGTTTTTATGTCTTCTTTTCCTTTTCATCCTTCTCTTTATTACTTCCTGAGGGTGTGTTTTTCTTTTCTCTTTGAGTTCTCTAGGTTTTTCTTGTCAGTGCAGCAGCAGTAGATATTCTGTTGTTTTCTAGGAGAGACAGTACTTGTGTTCACTTTGGTCTTCTCTTTTTTTGCCTGTAGGAGATAAATAGAAGAGGGAAAAAAGTTGAAAAGTGGCGTATCTCTGCTGAGAGGGAACCCTTGGGTTCACAATATACCTGTGTTATAGTGAGCTGTGGCTAGGATATAGGCCAAAAAAGTGTGGAGCTTGAAGTGCACAAGGACAATTTGAATACACCAATTTAACAAAATAGCAGTGCAGAAATCTTGCTGGAATGAGTCTTCTGCTAGCTTTTCAATGTTTCCAAATTTGCCTTGGCTAGTAATAAGATTTCCACCATGTCTCTTCTATTAGCTGAGGTTGTTGTAAAGTGGAAAAAAGACCCTATACATACAGGAGCAGGGAGAGGATAGGTTTGGGTCTAAGAGCACAAAGACATGCAGTTGGAGATAATCTGCCCTCTCTCTGTGTCTCTGGCCCAAAGTATTGGAGCAATATTCTGCAAATTAAATGTTCTGAGTTAAAGGGGGATAGACTAGCTCCTGTGTATGTGAACGTAGCATTAATGCACTTGAGCAACGAGGGAGTATGCCAATTTGAGTGTGAGAAATTGAAATGAAATGACGTTAGCTGATGTCTGCATGACTAGTGAGTGTGGCCCAGTAGATTTGCCATATGAGACTGCTGGTGCTCAGGCCAAGGCATTTACATTGCCTGCGACCTCACCTGGTGCATGGGATGCCTGCTGGCCCCACAGTGCATTAGGTGCACGCCCAGGATGCATTTTTTTGCTTACTGCTTGCAGTCTGTGCACTCAGGTTGCTCCACCTCTGTTTTAAAGTGCACTCCTGATGCACACTAAATTGCTAGTGTAACTATCCCTTGAACATTCCCATTTTAAATTTGGGTTTTCCCCATCATAACGTGTTATAATGGACAAAATTGTGCTTGTAAACTTCTAATGTGATAAGTTAAACTGCTGATGTGTTATTTCCTTTTATCGAGCATAGAAAAGAGGGAAGCAGTAATAAGATAGTACAGAAGTTAAAAAGCCTGGGCTGTAAGGTAGCACGGGATGGTACTTGCCTGCCTGTGGGATGTAGTACGACTTGCAGCAGGAGTCTCCACATCGGGGCTGTGGTGCTGCCTACACTTAGTAATAAATTATTGCTGACACTCTAAACGCTATGCAACGTATCGGCGATTCATCTTTCAATCGCCGGTTCCCACGCTGTCCGCTTTATCTCGATTGCTAATTTCATCCTGGCAGTAAATTGCTTCTCTTCTCTTAAATCTCCCCGTCCCGGCAGCCAAGCGCGGGGCCCTTGGGCGGGTGTGTGGGGGGACGGGGCGGCTGAGACCCGGGCTGGTGATGAATGGACAGGGCAGCCTGCCCGTGCCGCCCCGGGGCTCCGCAGCCCCCCGGCAGCGACCGGGGAGCGGCGGCCGCGGGGGGCGGGAGGAGGAGGAGGAGGAGGAGAAGGCGGCGAATCCTGGTCCGGCTGGCCGGGTGTGCGAGCACTAGTGGGAGCTGGAGAGGGCGAGAGGAGGGGAGGAAGCCCCAAGCCACCCCGATCCCGAGCACAGCGGCTGCGAGCCGGGCGGGAAGGGGGTGTGCGCGGGAGGCAGCGCCTGCGGAGGACGAGGGAACCTGGGCAGAGGAGGCAGCAGCCCCGGCAGAGGAGACAGCCCCGCGGAGCCATCGCAGGCGGTGAGGACGGAGAGGAGCCGGAGCCGGCCGGGGAGCGGGTGCTGCGGCGCGGAGATGCTGCGGCGGGGCGGGCGGCCCGGGGTGCAGGGGGGTCCCGGGGGTGCCGGGTCCCGAGTGCTGCGGGGGCAGCGCCCCGAAGGCGCCCGGCGCTTTCCATCCCCGCCGGGCGCTTGGGAGCCGCGGCTGCCCGGCCCCCGCCCCGTCCCGTCCGTGCGGGGCTCGGAGCGCTCGCTCCGGGCTGCCCCGAACTTCACTGCGGTGAAGCGTGTGAGGGGCCTCAGCCCGCTTGGGACCGGGCTGCCGGACCTGCTCTCTTCGGGCACACGCTGCGCCCGGCTTGATACGAGCTCGTTACGCTCGCACGTCAGAAGCTGGCGGTCCGCAGCGCTCCCGAAATGAACTTTTAAATCCAAACGCCAGTTTGTTAAGGTACAGCTTGTTTGGTAACTGACGGCGGTGGAGGGCCCTGTGAATCTCTGGGAAGCGGGAATCTCTCGCGCTGCAGTACGGTATTGTTAACTCAGACTTTGTCGCTTGTCATGGACTGACGTGAACTCTGGTTTACCGGCCGGATTATGGCAGTCGATGTCTTTGGTTGTGATGTTCAGAAACATAGCGTTAAACCACTCGGTTTAAGGACCTGCTGAATGCAAATGACAGAAAGTGTCACTGTTTCAGAGTCTCTTGTAGATAAAACCAGAGGTCTGCTAAGCGTCCTGGGTCTGATGGTGCAAAAAGCAGTGCCTGAGGGAGAGTAAAAATAAGATAGGCATGTAAGGATAATTTGCCAGAAGGCTCTCTCAGCATGCAATAATTTGCAGCTTGGATGCTTTCTAAGGGAGAGCTGGTGTCTTCATGGCACCATGAGCTTTCCTTTCCATGAGCTGCTCTGAGTGCCCCTTGACGCTGCGTAAACTTTTAACAATGTGCTGTGAGAAGGAAGTTCACAGCTTTAACTTTACACTGTGTCAAACCCCATAGCATTTTATTCTGAACCTTTGACAGTACCTATGTCTTGACAGAGTTAGTGCAGAACTGGTCTCTGTTCCTCTCTGTCCCATTCACACTTATATACTTCCAGAGCGTTCTCTGTTGTCTCCTTTTTAGGCCAAAATGCTCTCTTCTGTGTTGCTTCAAGTGTAGCTGAAGAGGAGGGAAATGAGCAGAGCCATAGTTATTTTCTGAGAATGGACCATTTTGAATGACAGGCATACTAAAGTTAGGATGTTGAAAGCTACAGTCTCTGTGAGTAACTCATGGAAGCAGTTTGCATTAGTGTGACAGAATGGCTACCATGTGATTGCCTACAGAGGACAAAATCTCTGACTGATGGCCAGCATGACTTTACAGCACCAAGTGTTTCTCCTCTTTCATGGCAGAGGCTGCATGTGCAGGGAGTTTCTTTCAGAGGTTTTTGAAAGCAAGCAAAAACCCAACCAGCATTTTACTATTAGAGTGATATGATGGATTCATAATGTGTTTGTAAGAAGAGTCTCTGTTTTTTGTGTTGAAATGTTGCATTGTTAGGAAACACTTTTGCAGTTATTTCAAAATAAGAAATCCATCACAGTAAATACGACGTAAGGACCTTGACTCTCTTCCCACAACCTACTGCTCTGCTTGGCTTCAGCTGAGCTACCCTTGGTTGACGCTTGTGCAATTGGAGAAAAGAAACCCCTCAGGCCTTTGGGACAGCTGTATCTGTACTTATCTGTGTGTGTAATCCTGGCTTATAGCAGTCCTTCCTGTAGGTCAGTATGCTGAATGATCTGGCTTCAAGTTGGCTCTTAAATACATACTTCATGTTAAGGATTTGTGGGGGGTCCATTTTAATTGGTGCACTTGTTTAATTAAAGTGATGCATGTTCTGGGGCCTTTGCTGCAGCAAGACTGGAGCATTCATCTCTTGACAGAATGAAGCCCTCAAGTTTTGAAACTGCCTTTGAAAGATCTTTGGTTGGTGATGATGTAAACTGACAGATTTACAAAGGCTGTTCCCAGCATCTAGTCTTTCTTGCCTGTTTCCGCCATTCTTCCCTGTGTATTGTAGGAATACAAAACTAGACTTTCAATAAGTAAGACAAAATATTTGTTTCCAGGTGGAAGGAAACAATGAGAGGAAGTCTGATGCTCAGGTGGGAAATGATGTGTTACTACTCCCAAGAAAAAAGATGAACTTTTTTTTAGGAGAAGGCTTGTGAGCTGCTCTGTGTCTGAACCACTGATTGCTGGATGCTGACTACAAAGCGCTTGTCCAGACTGTAAATCCTGTGGGGAAGGGGCTGCTCTGCTTTGTTACAAACGTGATACTTAATGCAGTGTGCTGGGGAGAGTGAAGAGCTGCCTCTGGGTCCAGCCTGTGCTGCTGCTGACAACAGCAATTCTAAGTTTACAGCTTTCAAACAGAATATGGGCCAAGCCAGAAAAGTCTCCAAAAACTTGTAATAGGGATTTTCTACCAATCTTAGAGTAATTGCAAGGATAGGATAGTATATAAACCAACATGGTTATCTTGGTTGTCATTACTCTAACTTACAAAGTTGGTGAGGGTTTAGAGATATATTAGAAGTGACTCCTACGTGTCTGTGCTGTAAATATGGCAAATATAGAACAGAAACAAATTAGTAAGATCTATTGGTGCCATAAAGCAAACTATAAAATGTATCTTAGACATATTACCATTCAGATTTCTGTTCCTTTTCAGAAGATATGAACTATTTTAAAATTGTCTCAAACAAACTGAGAATCTTGCTGCTGATAGGCAAAATTTGGAGGAAACTGATTTGAAAACACTGCAGTTTAGTCTAAGGTTCACATGTCAAGCTATTTTTTTTTTCCTAGTGCGTGTTTCAGATTGGGCTTCATTCTGGTGAGCTCTTTCCTCTTGCTGTTTTGTATTTGGTTGAGGTAGCAAAAATGTAATGAGGGTTATAGGATAAGTTTTGAAAAAGTCTTGAAATTGTAACATTCTGCTGGTATCTATGAATTGCATTGTGCTATATATCAACAACCTTGTTCTTTTGAGTACCTTAAAGGACAAAATATTTATCTATGACAGCATCTGGAAGTGCTGGACTCCGTTGTAATAAGGAAATGATTTTGAGGTAACTAAAATACCTTATAATGTAGTGTTTGATTACATTATACCAGGTTTTTACATGTGTCACATTACTGAGCTTACTTTTCTCAGTTTAAAATGTCAACACCTCATCAAGCTGTAAAAAAAATTCCTATGTGATCAATTATTCTTTATGATCGGCCCATGCCAGAGTGTGCATGCACACCCAGGTGTGAGCGCTTGCACAGTGTACACAGAGAGGAGCATGTCTGTGTCTCTGGTAATACAGGCAGCATGTTCTAACTGCTGTCATGCACAGACTGTCATGTAATTGCACTGTCATGCAGTGCTGTGTTGCAGGATTGTGATGAGCAGCCAAACCCAGAGGAATCTCTTCGCTTTGGCACTGTGTCTCACGGCTGGGGTCCCCAGTTTGTCGCTGCTCTGGCGTTTTTCTCACAGGATCATTCACAAGGGCTGTATGCTCAGCCCAGCTGCCTGCTTGTCACAGTGAATATCTCTTAGGCCTCCAAGCTTATGCCAGATTTGGTTATAATTGGCCAACAGACTCAGAACTTACTAGAGAGGGTCTGGCAGACGTGTTTATCCACAGATAAGCAAGTCTAAACATTGCCTTGGGAAAGTAGGCTGAAGGAGTTATTTTCTTTGGAGTCGGGATGCAATGCAAGTTCTCATCTGGTGGTACAATGGCCAGCAGGGAGGGCATTTGCATGGAAGTCATGGTCACAATTCCGAGCCTTACATGATGGGTATTTTGGAATCATCTGTGGCAGCTTGCAGGACTGCAGATACAGGTCCACAGAGTCTGCAAACTCTAAATGTAGTGAACAGGCTGGAGCAGCAATGTGAGAGCACTGGAGAGCATAGGTTCACCCTTCATGTGTTCCAGAAAGCTTTTCCAACAGTGAATGAATTTTAGTATGCAGAGACATGAATGACACAGGTCTCAGGAAGTTTCTTCCCCTGAAACTGACTGTGTTACACATTAAAATTAATTCAGTGCTGAAGTCAAAATGCATTGCTAGAAACCTCGACTCTGTGATGCCATTAAACAAAAGATTGCAGTTTCGCAGATGAGGATGAATAAAGGCACATAATCAAAAATGTTCATTCTTTAAAGATACCACTTATTTCCTTAACACAAAAATAACTGTTGCTGTTTTGCTGACACAAAAAGAAATATTCTTTGGTGTTCAGAAGAATTTCACATCTAAAGCCTAAAATACAAAACAGATTGTATATAAGACATATTTGTAAAGTAGCCACTTACAAGTTTTTAAAAGGTTAAGTAACTCAAGACCTATTCCCTCAAGCTACAAACGTATTTGTTCATGCATAACTTCACTAAGGAATACTTATGCGAATAAAATTACACACTTATAGGTTTGTAAAATGAAGACTGTAATTAGCTCTAGGTTAATTCCCCTGCTTCCTAATTAAAAACACACAGGTCAATTAAGGATCAAAGGAGATGTTACCTTTGTGATTATCTTCCTTGGCAGAAGTAGCTGTTCTGATAAATATTTCAATTTCACTATAATCTGACCTTTTGTCCAATTTGCTTTCCCTTATCCTTGTCAATTTTGGCCGAGAAAAAAGTGTTGTATTTAAAACAGACCATGAAAAGGCAAAATGCTGAATCTCATGGTTTTCATAGTTTGGGCACATATGTCTTTTAGGGGAAAAAAAAACCCTGATGGGTGAAAGAGTATAATTATCAATCCCTGGAACTGATAATGTGTACATGAGCTGTATCTGGCCACTTTGTTTATTTGTCTCTGCTAAGTACACAAATACAGCTTTATTTGTAACTAGATAGAAAAATACAGTTTCCTTCATGTGTGTGATGATTTATCTCTTCCCCAAGAAAGTAGTGATGGAATGGCATGCAGAGGTGTGCATCTAGAGTACAGGTCAGAGG